GCCTTCAAGGCGTGGAGGTGTTACCTAGAGGGAGCCAAGACTACAGTCTATACTGACCACTGCAGTCTCAAATACCTGAAGTCACAGCCGACACTCTCACGACGACAGGTGCGGTGGGTGGACTTCCTGGAAACTCACTTCCACTACGACATCGTCTACAAGCCCGGGCTACACAACAAGGCAGACGCATTGAGCCGCCCCGGACATGTAGCAGGCATCCAACTCGACGGGATGAACCCTCTGCTCAAGGGTCTATTCCAACATGGGTACTCCGTGGACGCAGAGATTACTACAGCACAGACCAAGAAGCTATTACAGTGGGAGAAAGACTTAGCTGTAAGGAAGGGTTCATGAAAGATTTGGGTACCGAATTACGCCCCGCTACGGCAGATCCTATTGGAGGAGTTTCACAACGTACCTTACGCGGGACATTTCGGGAGCAACAAGACGTTAGCAGGGATAGCGAAGTATTACTACTGGCCCGGGATGGCAGCAGACGTGCAGCAGTTCGTCACCTCTTGCGACACGTGCCAGCGGATGAAGAGCAGCAAGCAGAAAAAAGCAGGGTTACTTCAGCCTCTACCCGTACCGGAGCAGCCATGGCAGGTCGTTAGCCTCGACTTTATCACAGGACTTCCTTCAACCTCACGGGGACATGATTCCATCCTCGTGGTGATCGATAAGTTCTCCAAAATGGGTCACTTCATACCGACCAACGCCACAGCTACAGCTGAAGCAACTGCTCGACTCTTCTTCGACCGCATCATCACCATCCACGGCATCCCCGCTACACTCATCTCAGACAGAGACCCCAAATTCACGAGTAAGTTCTGGAAGGAGCTCATGGGACTGTTGGGGACAAAGCTTACAATGTCTTCAGCATACCACCCCCAGACTGACGGACAGACAGAGCGACTCAATCAAGTGGTTGAACAGAAACTGCGCACAACTTGCAAGGACAACGTGAGCCACTGGGACACACAGTTACCGACCCTAGAGTTTGCTTACAACAACGCATCACATGCGGCCACAGGAAAAACTCCTTTCTTCCTGTGTTACGGACGGGAACCACTCACACCACAGCAGCCAACCACACCGGCATACGTCCAAGCCGCACATGACTTCGTCACCACCATGCAGCAGCTATGGGAGAAGACTCAGCGACGTCTCACCACGATGCAGAACTCCCAGAAGCAGTATGCCGATCGTCAGCGACATGATCACTCCGTAGCAGTCGGAGATTAGGTGCTTCTTGACACGCGCAACTTGAACCCGTCTCACCTCCCATCCAAACTCCGGCCTCGCTTCTGTGGTCCTTCTCTCGTTGAGGCACAGGTGACACCAGTTACATTCCGTTTGCGCTTACCAGATACATGGAAGCTTCACAACGCTTTCCATGTCCAGCTACTGAAGCCCTACAAGGACCCCAACCAACAGTTCAAGGGACGGCAACTACCGCCACCACCACCTGTTCTCATACAGGATGAACCCGAGTACGAGATCGAGCGCGTTCTCTCTCATCGGCGCCGCGGTGGCAAGACTCTCGAGTTCCTGATACGCTGGAAGGGATACGACCCCACTGAGGACAGTTGGGTTGCAGAAGCTGATATGGGCAACGCATGCTGTGCTCTCAAGGACTATCTTGTCAAGCAGGGTGTATCTCACGCCACCCAGCTTTGAGGAGGGGACGTGTGAGAGTACGACGGCTTATGCCAACTATGCTTGCTTGCCTTTACTTTATCATGCTATTTCTAGCAGAGGATAATCATATGCATGCATGAATTGCTTGATTTCCTAGGCTAGGTGCTTTCCTATATTTTATTATAGTTATAGCACCGAGCTAGGTTGCGTGCACCGAATTCTGGCTTTTCGGTTGCCACCGAATTGCCTTCTACCGAATTCGGTAAGGATCTGTTCGGGACGCTTCGCGACCCGCGGAACCTTCGCGTAACACTTGGTTACGGGGCCTTGTGTCGAGCCTATATATAGCCTCGTGTTGTACCCAGGTGGACATTCAATTCAATTCAATTCAATTTGAATCATGTTTTCTGAGCTCAATCCCAGATCCTCACAAGCGCGAACGGGCCGCGAGGGCGGCGCGACGCGACGGAGCCGCGAGGGTGGCGGATCGGTCTCAGAATCCCAACCACTAGACCATTGGGATAAAAGGGCTTGTTTCAGTAGCGGGTCAGTGCGCCCATAACCCCCCAGGCAAATGTGCCTGTAACCCTTCCCTAGGATCGATCGGGGATCACCAGTGGACCTCTGACACCCCCCCGCACTGGGATGCCCGAAGTGCATACACCGGGATTCGAACCCGAGACCTTCGCTCTGGATACCATCTCAGAATCCCAACCACTAGACCATTGGGATAAAAGGGCTTGTTTCAGTAGCGGGTCAGTGCGCCCATAACCCCCCAGGCAAATGTGCCTGTAACCCTTCCCTAGGATCGATCGGGGATCACCAGTGGACCTCTGACAATCGGGGCCGCGAGGGCGGCGCGACGCGCCCGCTAGGGCGGCGCGACGTGACGAGGCCGCGAGGGCGACGCGACGGGGCCGCAAGCGCGACGCGACGGGGCCGCTAAGGCGGCGCGACAGGGTCGGAAGAGGGGAGCGCGACTCAGGCAGAGTAGAGCGCGCTTCGGGCAGGAAAAAAGGTGGTGGACCCTAGGAACAGTTCCCACAGGGGAACCTGCTCGATACGATGAGAAAATGAACGAGAATGAATTGTTTAAGGGAAAGTTGGGTACAAGTACAAACCCTAGAAAGTCGTACCCCATATGTGCTACCCCACTATAGCCCACAACAGCTATGTCATATAAATCTGACAGAAGCAAGAGTAGAATGAGCGAAGGCGTGAGCGAAGAATATATAGCGAAACTACAGTGGTAACGGTAATGAACTGTGATTGTCGCGCGATGGGGTTGGGATTGAGGTTTGGGGAATTGTCGAAGCGGAGGCCCGGAGCGCGGGTTACCCGCCGAGCCGTGAGGTCGAGGTGCGACGTGCGAAGGTGGCGGGAGGATTGTCGATGCGATGGTTGCGAGTGGTAACGGTGCTGACTGTGGTGCCACAGTGGTGTACGCGCTGAGCGAGGACGCTAAGTAAGGAAAAGCAATTTTCCCTTACACCTCGCTACTTCATGGTTTCTTCATTCAGTAATTCTGTATTTCTCATTCTCGTTATTCAATATTCTGCGCACTCTGCAAGCTCATAACAATAACAATAACGGTTTTATTCATAATTATAACGGTTTTATTTCTTATTGCAGTTGCCACATTGCAGATTGCACTATTTTTGAGTTAATAGCTGCTGCACTTTCACTCACATTGTGTTACACTGAGCTTTGTTCCACGAAGTCACTATTTTCTGTGAGAATATTATGAATTTGTCGTTACAAATCAAATATCGACTGCTTGAGCCATGTGCGCAGCATGGCAATCCAACATTCTGGTAAATGAAGTAGAGCACTTTCGTATTTATCATGTCATCCATAGCTTCAATACTCTATCCTTCCCTCCTGATGCCACCTTGGTGCCATCTGGGCTCCAATCAACTGCAAACACCTGTACAGCAGCAAGCCAATCACAGAAAGCAGATTAGACATGGCAGTAAAACAAGTCCACCCTGTTTCGCCACCTCCCCATCTTCTCTCACCCTTCAATGCCCCAAAAATGCTCCCACACAATCCCATTTCACCCCAGCCGCATGAACGAAAGACAGCAAAGCAGAGTAGGGGAGAAACGCAGAGCAGAGCAGGGTGGGGCAGAAAAAGCAGAGAAGAGCAGAGCAGAGCAGGGTAGAGCAAAAGAGCACAAAAGAAGAATATAGAGAGGCCATGTATCTGCTTCTAATGGCTAGCACATTGCCACCCACCTCATCCGCATGCCCTGGTAGATCCTCCCTCACTTTGCGCGTTTGAAGGTCCCACACCTGCATTGCCATGACATGCCATGCCAATATCATCCCATGCCATACCATGCCATGCCATGCCATGCCGTGGCACAATAACCACGAATTCGAGCCATACCGTAGCAGCCAGCGAGTATAGCACACACTCAGTGGTACCCGAATTGGAAGCTGCATTGACAGTGGTTGAGATCGGAGCAAGTCAATGCGTGGCAGCACAGGCCGGGTATGGCGGGAATCACATTCAATAGAAACTACCGAGGGTCATGAAGATACACCATGGCATGGGGTCACCATGGCATGGGGTCACCATGTCATGGGGATCACCATGTCAGATGTGTGTGGAAAATAAGAAAGCACAGCATGCTTGTAACATCAGTAGTGCGATGTTATTAGTGCGATAAGCAGTGCATCAGCACCACGCGTAGCAACCCACATGCCTGGAGTGAGTGTGCTGTCAGCTCTCAGCAGTCAGCATGCTTGTCTCATACCTTGAGTGTGCTGTCCTTGCTGGCGCTCACGTTTGAGAATTCTCAAAAAGTGATTCCCAACCAAATAGCAGTCAGCATGATTGTCTCACTAGAGTGTGTCATACCTTAAGAGTGCTGTCCTTGCTGGCGCTCACTAGAAGACGACTGTCTGCCGACCAGCTGCGGGAAGAACCGAGGAAGGAGGGGTGGAACGGGGAGAGAGTGGAGTCAGTGGAGAGTAATAGGTGGTGAAAAAGCAGAGCAAGAACTTCTGGAGGTATGGTTCGTCACAAAGAGCTTATGGGGAAAAGTTTTGAGGCGGCTAGAATATGGCAGGTTTAACATCATCAGGGTGAAAGCAAGCTGTGGTTTGTAACGACTGGCGGAGCGCGGAGAGTACGAACACTGCTGGTCATTAATTTCCCCTTGTACATGTTCCACTTGTGTGCATCCCAAGGTTAGTTACAGACGATAGAGCCACTGTTACACCCTCACTCTCCATTACTCCCTCCCTCGCTCCTCACTCCTCACTCCCTCCCTCCTCACTCGCCCTCTCCCTCTCTCCGCCCATCTCCCCCCGCCCATCCCCCCCCCCACCAGAGTCGAGTTTTCAATCAACTCAAAACACTCCCTCCCCCACTCGCCCTCTCCCTCTCTCCGCCCATCCCCCCCCCTTCACCCCCCCCCACCAGAGCTGGTAGATGGGGCTGACGTGTGCTCGGAAGGACGCAATGAAGCGCCCTGACACCCCGTCCCACAGCTTCACACTCTTGTCAAACGACCCGGACGCCAGCCAGCGACCGTCAGGGGAGAAGCACACGTGGTTCACCAGCTGAAGGCGGGGGTGGGGGTGGGGGTGTGGGGGAAGGAGGCGGGGGACGGGAGAAGCAGACGTGATTCACCAGCTGGAGCCCAGGGGGATGCATGGCGAAGGAAGGGGGGGAAGGAGAGGATGACAGAAGAATGAGGAGGGGGGAAAGAAGGAGGGGAGAGGCTGGGTGACTTGAAACGGAAGTCGTTTCCAATGGAGCTGGTTGCCCATAGGGCTCCAGCTGGGGGAAAGAAGGAGGGGAGAGGCTGGGTGACTTGAAGCTGGGTAAGGAGGAAGCGGTTGCCAATAGGGCTCCAGCTGGGGGAAACGTTGTCAATAGGGACTGCTGGAGAAGAAGACATTTGAGGAGCCTCAAAAGTTGTCGGGGAAAGTGTCAACCAGGACTGTTGGAAAAGAAGCATAAGTGGTTGACTAGCTGGATCAGAAGAGTGGGGTGGAAGAGGGAAAGAGAGAAGGAGAGGAGGAGAGGAGGAGGAAGGGGGAGGGGAAGATGCATCTAAATCTGATATGGAAGCCAATTTAGGGTCGGGGCAAAATCAAACACCAACCGTCAGGAAAGAAACGAGTGTTAGATTCATTGTCCACCCACCCCCCCACCCACACAACCAAGGTTCAAAAATACGATCGTATTTTTGAAAATTTACCGTAAATTACTGTATCGTAATTTACGGTCGTAAATTACGGTAAAAATCGGTTTGACGTTGCAAAATTAGGTTGGTTCAAAAATACGGTCGTAAATTACGACCGAAAGTTTGAAACCGAGTTTGTGTATAGCGAATTTCAACATTTCCCAACCGTCAACCTGTTCGTGAGAATTTTTGTGGCCCCAAACCCACTCGAGAGTGTTTTTTTCCCGAGTCGCGAGTGTCAGCAAAATCTCGAGGCGGGACATTGTGCATTTTGGTGACAGTTTAACAGGTTTGTTGCCCATTCGCACACTCGTTTGTGTATTTCGCCGAATCGCAAATGTACAAATTTGTGCGACGCGGCAAATTGTACATTTGGCGAACGGATAACACAAGTCTACCCGTTTCGCCAAGTCGGTGGGTCGTTACGCGGCCCGTTCGTTTTTTTCGCCCGCATGCGCTACTCAACTCAATTTCGACACTGCAAAACCATTCCAACCAATAGCGTTCGTCCAATCTTCATCCCTTCCATCTCATCCCTTTTGCATATTCCATTCGCCAACGCAACCAGGGCAAAAACCACCATTCTGTAGTGTAGTATGTTGTTACCTTCCTTGTCATCGTTGTAAGCTTTCTAGGAATTTCTGGAAAAAAAATTCCGCAAAAAATGTCCATTTAAAAAACGACCGTATTTTTGCCAAAACCACCGTAAATTACGACCGTAATTTACGAGCCGTAATTTACGTTTACCGTATTTTTGAACCTTGCACACAACCACCCACCCGTCCACGCAACCACCCACCCAACCACCACCACACCTGCTGGTGACCTGTGAGCTTGGCTTTAAGAGCGGCAGCGAGTGGGGAGTTGGGCTGCATGGCAGCAGCGGGGTGCCAGAGCACCATGGTGAAATCATCCGATCCTGACACCAGCCTCTCCCCACTCGCTCCCTTCACCGCCTCGTACCGCACTCGCGCCTTCTCCTGGGGGGAAGAGTGGGGGGGGAATTTAAGGATGAGTTTCGGACCGAAGACGCCGGCCTCTCCCCACTAGCACCCTTCACCGCCTCGTACTGCACTCGCGCCTTCTCCTGGTGTCGGGGGAATGGGGGGTGGGAGGGGAAGGACAAGAAGGGAGGATGGGAAGGGGGAAAGAGTGACCAAACAGAAGCATAGGTGAGGAAAAGGTGCAAGGAGGGAAGGAGGGTCGCATGGGTACGGAGGGGGGGAGTGCCGGGACTAGTTGAGCAGAAAGAAGTAAAGAAGGAAAGAAGGAAAGAAGGAAACATGGGCAAGGGATTCAGATGACTTTTGAGTCGACTCACAAGTCACCTCGGGGACGAGTTAAGCAGAAAGAAGGAAAGAAGGAAACATGGGCAAGGGATTCAGATGACTTTTGAGTCGACTCACAAGTCACCTCGGGGACGAGTTGAGCAGAAAGAAGGAAAGAAGGAACGAAGGAAACATGGGCAAGGGATTCAGATGGACTCTGAACCCCCTTTCCCCCCACAGCCCCGCCCACGCGCCACAGCCCCTCCTGCGCGCACAGCCCCCCCCCGGCGCCCACAGCCCCACCTATGCGTGCGCCTCCGCCCACACCCCACCTTGCGTTCCTCGTCCGTTGCGGGGAGGCCGTTGACTCCCCCGTGGTCAAACGCGCCTGTTCTTAGCGCATAGTCCGTGCTCAGCGCTAGCGAGTTCACCCAGTGCCCGTGACCCTGCCAGGGTGGGGGGGGAGGGACATGTGAAGAGGGTGGTGGGATGGGGTGGAATGGGGTGGGACTAGGTGGGATTTGGGTGAGATTTGGGTGGGATGGGGACGAAATGGATCCGCAGAACATGATGTTTGACTGTGGGATTGGGATTGATTGCCCAAAAGACTCATTTCGTGGCACTGATAGCATGCCATGGGCATGGGATGGGACGATGGTGGGATGATCACACACACACACACACACACGCACACACACACACACACACACACACACACACACACACACACACACACACACACACACACACACACACACCGTCGCTGCAATATCCGTGTCTTTTGGCTTAATGGCTCGGGTCCGCAGAACACTGCCGCTTCCCACAGGCACCGCACGCTCCCTGCCTACCTGTTCCCCCATGCACCCGTCAGCTTGCTTGCTGCCTATTCTTGCCGCCTCGCAAAGCCGGCTTACCTTAAGCTGCTGCAGAGCAGCACCGTTGACAGCACTCCACATGCGCACTGTGCAGTCCCGAGACCTGTGGTCGAGGGCGGTGGGGGAAAGGGGAAGTGGCGGGTGCGGGAGGTGAGAAAGACAGCAAGGGCGCAGGGACGGGTGTGGCGGGAGGTGGGTGGGTGGGTGGGAGGAGAGCGAGGGTCAGGGAAACAGAGTGGTGGGAGGTGAAAGGAGGGCATGACAATAAGTTACAAACACAGGTGGAGAGGAGAAGAAACGAAGTGTAAGCAATCCTGCCACGCCACCATCGCAGACACGCAACAACCAGAGTGTAATGAGTCGAGTTTTGAGTCGACTCAAACCTCGTAAGCAATCCTGCCACGCCACCATCGCAGACACGCGACAACCAGAGCCATTCCGGCTCTCAACCCAAGTAGATCACGCCATCGCCGGCCCCCAGCACAAACTGGTCACAGCTAGTGCGTGCCGTGCCCCGTGTGTGCCCCGTGTGTGCCCCGTGTGTGCCCCGTGTGTGCCCCGTGTGTGCCCCGTGTGTGCCCCGTGTGTGCCCCGTGTGTGCCCCGTGTGTGCCCCGTGTGTGCCCCGTGTGTGCCCCGTGTGTGCCCCGTGTGTGCCCCGTGTGTGCCCCGTGAGTATGAACAGCATGGTGCGCCGCACAGGGATCATCACACACTTTCCACACATGCACACATGCGTGCTGCGACTCACTCACCCCGAGTAAATCACACCATCGCCGCCCCAGCGCAAGCTAGTGACAGCCAGTGTGTGCCCCGTGAGTATGAAGAGCGTGGCGCGCCGCACTGCATCCCACACGCGCACGTCCCCGTCGCGACTCGCACTCGCCAGGCGCCGGCACGGCAGCGCCACGTGTGCCGGCTCCCATGCTATGGCCGTTATCCACTTGCGGTGGCCCTGGGGGGTTGGGGTGGGGGAGGAAAGAGTGGAAAGGGGGAGGATGGGGGGGTCAAGGTTCAGGTTGCACCGCCTCCCATGCTATGGCCATTATCCACTTGCGGTGGCCCTGGTGTGGGGGGGAATGGGAGGAGGGGAAAGAAGAACAGGAAAGTGGGGGCAAGGCGGGTCAGGGATTAGGGATAAGTTGTGTGTGCCGGCTCCCATGCTACGGCCTTTATCCCGACACAGACACACATCAACAAAAACACAAGCAGAAGCAGTCACAATTCCACCCCACCCACGAACAGTCTCTCACCCTCCCAACCCGCCCCTTCCCTCACCTTGAGAGCAACGGGGTCTTTCTCCCCAGCAGGCGACTCCCACAGCAGCAGTCACAAGCCCACCCACACCGTTCCTCTCCCCTCTTTCCTCTCCCCCCCGACAACCCCCCCCCAACACACTCACACCTTGAGAGCAACGGGGTCTTTCTCCCCAGCAGGCGACTCCCACAGCAGCACGTGGGCGTCCATGCCCCCCGTGGCCAGCCACTTGGCATCGGGCGACCATGCCCTTCCCCCTTCCCCCTTTCCCCTTCCCCCCTCCCCCTTTCCCCTTCTCCCTCCCCCTTTCCCCCTCTGTCTCCAACAAACTCGCACCACACCCCTCAGCCACAGCAGCGGTCACAAACCCAAAACCAGCCCATCCACCCCCCTGCCCACCTGATCCCTCTTCCCTCACCTTGAGAGCAACGGGGTCTTTCTCCCCAGCAGGCGACTCCCACAGCAGCACGTGGGCGTCCATGCCCCCCGTGGCCAGCCACTTGGCATCGGGCGACCATGCCAGCGACAGCACCCAGTTCTTGTGCCCCGCGCGCGTCTTGAGCGGCGTCTGCGTGTCCACGTCCCAGAACCGCACTGTTGTGTCTCCTGATCCGCTCGCCAGCTGCTTGCTGTCCGGGGAAAATGCGACTGCTAGCACCGCCTCCGTGTGGCCTGTATGGAGGGAGACAGGATTGGGAGGCGCGAGTGAGAGGGAGGGACGGGTTGCACGTGTGTGTTGCAAGTGCTGTGCTGCGGTCCAGCTGCTTGCTATCCCAGGAGAACGCCACTGCTAGCACCGCCTCCGTGTGACCTATGTTGGGTGGGGGGTTGCAGAGGGGAATGGGTGTGTGGGTGAAGTGAAATGAAGTGAAGTGGAGGAAAGGGCCGCACAGGTGTGCAGCAATTCAACCGGAGTACTTGAAGAGGAGAGAGGGGGACTTGAAGAGGAGAGAGGGGGACTTGAATAGGAGAGAGGGGGACTTGAAGAGGAGAGAGGGGGACTTGAAGAGGAGAGAGGGGGACTTGAAGAGGAGAGAGGGGGACTTGAAGAGGAGAGAGGGGGACTTGAAGAGGAGAGAGGGGGACTTGAAGAGGAGAGAGGGGGACTTGAATAGGAGAGAGGGGGACTTGAATAGGAGAGAGGGGGACTTGAATAGGAGAGAGGGGGACTTGAATAGGAGAGAGGGGGACTTGAATAGTTACTGTAAACACACCCTATGGGTGGCCTGGAGGAGAGAGGGGGACTTGAAGAGTGGGCAAAGAGGGGGACGAATGTGGAGAGACGAAGGGAAGCAGCAGCTGGAGGCACTGATTGGTGGGTTAGGTGGGAGAAGGGGTCTGGGGAGTATGTTTTTTTGAATTCCCAAGAAACATACACTGAAGGGGCCTGGGGAGTAGAGGGGACATATCAAGGAGATGAAATGTGACTGCTTGGTCAGGAGAGGTCACACGTGCAACCTGACTTTAATAAACACATAGCTGTGCACGGATTAAAATTTTAGGCTCCAGGTTTCACGTATGTACACACACAGATTATACACCGTATCACTTAGAGCCCCTTAAGCAAGCTTCTTCCTCGAGCTCCAGCTTTAATGCAATTGTCGCTGTGTCACACACACACACACACACACACACACACACACACACACACACACACACACACACACACACACACACTCAATCACTCGTGTAAAGCCCTTTCTAGAGCGCCGGCGCCGCTGACCTGGGATGGTGGCGGAGCAGCGAGTGACGGATCGGATTCGGAACACGGCTTGTGGCTGGTACACGATGGATAGCACCTTCTCCACCGACACTGGCAGAGGGGGCGCGGGGTACAAGGCAGGGCGCACGAACAGGGACAGGGGGCAGGTTTAGGGGGCAGGAGGCAGGGGGCAGGGCGCAGCGGGCAGGGGACAAAGAAGCAGGGAGCAGGGGGGCAGGGGGGCAGGGGGGAAGGGAGGAAAGGGGAAAAGGGAGGGAAGCTTTGTGAGGGCCCAGCTACTGATGAACACCATGCATGATTCATGGGCATGCATGGATGCGCGCGAGAGGTGAGAAGTGGGTGGGGTGCGGTGGGGCGAGAGGTAGGAAGAGACAAAGAGGCAGCCACCATGGTTTCACGATTGTTGGGAAAAGGGGAGAGAAGAGAAGAAGGGGCAAGGATGAAGGAGGAGGTATCGGAGGAGGTCACAGGGAAGGATGGAAGCACAGAGGATGAAGGAATTTGCAGCTGAAACGAGTGTGATGTGATCCGACAGACGAGGATCCAGTGGCAGGCCGGGGCGGGAAGGGCGGGCGGGGACGGAGGCGCGGAGAGGCAAGGGCGGAGAGGCAAGGGGACGGAGGCGCGGAGAGGCAAGGGCGGAGAGGCGAGGGCGGAGAGGCGAGGGCGGAGAGGCGAGGGCGGAGAGGCAAGGGGACGGAGGCGCGGAGAGGCAAGGGCGGAGAAGCAAGGGGACGGAGGGAAGGGCGGGGAGGCACCTTTATGTTGTCTGAGGTGCTCCCCTAGAGGCTCTGAGACCTCCCTGTCGTCTATGTAGAACGCGTATGGTAGCCTCTCCTCCTGATGCCGTGCACATGCACATGCACATGCCCATGCCCATACGAACACACACACACATGCACGCACATGCACATGCGCATGCATACACACAGCACGGGGAGAGGGGTGAAAGACACCACGGGCATGAGCGCCAACGCTTGTGCGCCCCAGTATCAACCATCTGCAACCACCTGCAACCACCTGCACATCGTCCATCCCATTAGAGTGTTGATCCCGCGAAACCCGCCCAAAACCCTGAACCAGCAAGCCCGCCCCTTGGACCTTGCAAGGGTTTAGATTTACGTTTGAAGGAAAGAAGGTGCTCTGCAGCCTCTCTCTCCGAACGGCTCGGGCGGGAATTGGCAACAGCGCAGAAAAACACGCCAGCATCGCACACTTAACAGACACAAGGTTTCTCTGTAATAAATCCTGTACTTTCTTTAACCCTCATACCCTCTCGACGCAAATGGCGAACCATATCCCCGAGAGAATACTCCTTCTAGATACGCACGGACTAACGTGGCTGTGCGACGAACGGAATGCGCGACGCGAGGTATCCGAGATGCGCGAAATCCTCCCATGCACCAGCACGTACATTGTTGAGGATAGCGTTAAGCAGCGCCGTCAATTCCCTAGGCCCCGCGTCTTGCGGAATGTCGACGGGGTTGCCGGCCAACTTGCCCTCTGCGTCGGCTAGCTGGCAAATTACACTGTTACCTGCCATTTCCGCCATCACAGGCGCTACCGCTTAGCTCTCAGGACTGAGCTGCCTCGGTAATCCCAAGGTTTCGTGCCTGTGTACTGACCCAGCCCGTCCTAGCCTGTCCTAGCCTGACGTAGCTACGCCTTGCCTTCTGGTCTGTTCTGTGGTCCGCTTTATTTGTTACGTTTTGCGACAACTGTTCTAGAAGTTGGCTCTTACAATCTCAATTCTCTTCGCCCTTTCCTCCTCAGTCGTCCTTGCGAGGCGGTGGGCAAGTATTAATTGCTCGCCAGAAGAGCTGCCCACTGTCGAGGGGTTTGCGCAGAACAAGTTACTCCGCTATTTGCTGACTCGCTGTTCCGCAATGAACACTCTGTACTTGCTAACTACACAAAATGCCACTACATCAGGTGCTTAGAATCCTATATTCATATTCATATATTCGAAATACAAAAGAAGCCTAATCGGCTTACTTCTAAGCTACAGATTAGCCTATATTTATCACATGCACATACAAGAACTATGTATACAGCCCACCACGAATACTATTATACAATACATATATCCGCATTTCCCCATAATCATGTCATCATGTCCCTGCCAAGATCCGTTCTCAGCCACCCATAACGAGAGGCACTTACCGGTACGTATTTACCCACTCTAGTTATGTTAGCCTTCTCTATGCCATTCCTGTGCCTGCCACTCCAGACGCATCATGCGGGTTGTACGGTTATGTGCACCAAACCAGGCCTCCTGTGCCTTAATCCACCCAGACCACTGTTAGCATTCTTTCCTCTCTTCAATCCCTAAAGATGCCACGGAACCGCGCCTTTCCTCCCGGTTGAATGTACACCACTGCCACAGACGCACCCTTCTCCATATTTCCACCGTTCTCCACTATCCTGAATCCCCGTGGCTTTTCCGACAAAACTAGTCCCCAGTAGCTGCACCAGTGAAGCACAAAAAGGCAGAGTGGGAGGCAGACTGGTTGGTCATGTGCTGTCTTGAGAAACGAGAACCATTGACAGCTTGCGTCGTGTCAGGCTGACTCAAACATCAACTTCTTGTTGGAACTACGAGGAGTAGGAAGGAAGTGTGCAACAAGGGTGAAGCAGGGGCAGAGAGCGAGTGAGGCAGAAATATTACAAGCGAACCAGGAGGAAAGCGATCGCACAAAGAGGGCAAGAGAAAAGGAGGAGGTCTGTGCACTGTGCACCTGCGAGACCTACCTCGAGGCATGGAAGTTGCTGGCCCTGAGAGTGAGAGCGTTGAGTCGCCCTCCACTGACGTTGGTGATATTGGCCCTGTACCTCCCCACCTCCTGCCCACTCTTGTCCTTCCACACGGCTGTCTGCCTCGTCTGCACCACCAGACGCCGCACTCCCTTGCTGCTGCCGCTGCCACTTCCCCCCCCTTTGCTGCCACCGGCGCTGCCCTTGCTGCCACCGGCACTGCCCTTGCTGCCACCGTTGTTATTGCCGTTGCTAGGCTTGCCTGCACGTGGTCGCAATGTTAGCACAACACAGTGGGATGGAGCAAGAGAGGGCGATATTGAGGCCGTGACAACTGCAAACTTGAATCCGAATGAGGGTGCAGCACGGGAGCGCATGCTGCAGACACAAGACCTGCTGCATAGACAAACACCGGGGCGCATGGTTCAGAGAAGAATGCAAACTATGGGAGCTGGGTGGTTGGATAGTGGCATGTCCTGCAGCGTGCTGATGAGGGAGGAGGAGGAGGAGGAGGAGGAGGAGGAGGAGGAGGAGGAGGAGGAGGAGGAGGAGGAGGAGGAGGAGGAGGAGGAGCAGGGGCACGAGGAGGAGGAGGAGGAGGAGGAGGAGGAGGAGGAGCAGGGGCACGAGCAGGATAAGGAGGGAGAAAGCAAAGCAAATCAGCTCACCGCCAGTGTTCTTCGGTGGGCTCTTCCCTCCACCGCTCCCCCCTCCATTCTCTCCCTTCGGCCGCGCCCCCCTAGGCGCACTGATCGGGCCAGGGTCGGCGTGCGTGACAGGGATCTTCTCCGTGCCGCCGGCGATGCGAGCCAGCACGCCCACGAGCGGCGCGTTCACGTACGTGCTGGGCTCGTTCTGCTGGTAGTTTCCACGGTCGTCCGTGAACGAGTCCGAGGCGTCTGGGCCACCGACAAGTGCCCCTGCCAGCACGTTCTGGTTGGGGTTCTGTAGAACGGGGGAAAATGGGGCCACAGAGGACATGTCAGAAGAGGTCGTGGTTCCCCCACTAGCACTCCAGCCAGTGCCTTGGGTCATAAAGAATCCTTGTGGGAGAAAGCAGGAGTTTGTGGATGCAAGGCCTCGTCTGACTGACGTCAGGCGTTGAGTGTCAGAGATGAGTCAAGTCAATGCAAAGGCCACCTCAGGCACGGCCACATGTGAGCGTGCAACCAGGGCAAGCCAGGCTCCGGCACATCTCTCACGCAGGGGCCTCACCGGGGTGTGGAAGAAGGAGAAGCCATCGCCGCACGCAATGAACCCAGGGCTGCTTTTCATGGACGGCAGGGACGCCGCGCGGTGGTGCTGGCGCTTGGGGTAGTACGCCCCGTACCCCGCCATGTAGCTCATGCCCTTGGGGTTGCTGCCCAGGATGTAGTCCACCTGCTTCTGCGCCATGCTCCGCAGGTCCGTGGGCGTGAGCGTCTGGCCGGAGGCGCACTTAAAGGAGCCCACAGAGGCGCGGTCGAGGTAGTCTGAGTAGACCGAGAGTAGAAGCGACGCTGATGTCACGTACTGCAGGTTGCTCCACGGCAGGAACACCAGCAGCCCGCCTGGACGGGCGAAGACGAGGTGGAGGGAGGAGATAGAAAGAAGAAAGAGGCGTGCGAAGGGTTGCGTGGGTGCAAGAGCAAGGGAGAGGGGAAAAGGGGTGGCCCAGTGGCGCCAGGAAGGGTTTTTTCTAAAGCGAGAGCGCCAATGGCCCGGCTCACTCCCTCCATCCCTCCCTCCCACCCTCCCACCCTTCCTTCCACCCTGCCTGCTTGCTCGCCTGCGTGCGTGCGTGCGCGCAACCGTACCGGGAGTCTTGGAGCCGGCGAGCACGTTGCACATGAACCGCTGCGCCTGATCCGCGTACGCCTGCATGCTGCTGTCCCCCGCCACCAGCGCCAACTGCTCGCACGCGCGGACAGGGGCGAGAGACGAGTGAGGAAGGAGGAAACTCGCTGAGGAAAGAGGAAAGCTCTCGCAGGGACGGTTGTAGGATGTATGGGGCAGGAGGAGGTAGCAAGCTGTGCTAGTAGTGGGAACTCTTAAAACGGACAACTAAGTGGATGTTGCATCTAAGTGGGAGGCGAGGAAGATTGGGAGACGATGGGGGGAGGGCGTGATGGAGAGGGAGGCGGAGAGGGCGCACCTGCGAGAGCAGGACCTGCGCGCCGGCGAATTTGTCGTCCCAGGAGAACATCTTGGCGGTTGTAGCGGCGCCCTTGAGCGCGTCCTTGTTGGCTCGGATGTAGCCCAGGTACTGCTGGTCGGCTGTAGCGCGGTACAGCCACCCCGCCGCCCACAGCAGCTCGTCCTGCAAGGGGTGGGGGGGGGAGGAACGGGGAGGGGAAGGGGAAGGGGGAAGAGACGGTAAAGGTGGGAACGGGGGAGTGACGGGGGTGGAGGGAGTGGTGGAGCGAGGAGAACGGGGTGAACTGGGAGGCTTGAGAGGAAGAGATGGTTGAGAGGAGGATGGGGGGGGAGTGAGTGAGGGAGAGAGGAGGAGGAAGGACTGTGGAAGCTAGAGTATATCGGAGGCAATTTATGCGCGGCCTGAGACAAAGCGAGGGGGCCATGAAGGCGCGTGAAATGCTTGAGGGAGGCACGTCAACAGCTAGAGGGAGCCGTGCAAAATGCGAGAGAACAAGGGAGGGAGGAAATGAGGGAGGGAAGGAGAGAGAGAGGGAGAGGGAGAGTGGTGAAGGAGGAAGGGAGGAAGAGAAGAAGGCGTACGTTAAAGCCGGAGTAAGACTGGTAGTAGGTGGCAGCGGAGGGGATGCTCGCTGTGTACGTGCGCCGATACTTGTCCGCGAACGAGAACAGCTGCACCACGCACAGACACAAGCACCAGGGGTGGACACGAGACGAGATGAGACGAGACGAGATGAGACGAGACGAGGGTGTGGAGGAGTAAAGACACAGACAGGTGGCTTTCGAGTCGATTCGAGGCGGGAGTCTCGAGGAACAAACTTTTTGAAATGCCCACCCCCGGTCGCCTCCCAACTGGCTGGGCATCTGTCGGACTCTTGAATGCCAAATGCTCAGCCAGTTGGGAGGCGAAAGAGAGAAAAGCGGAGGAGGGAAGAGGGCGGGGCCCCTCAAAATAAGAAGGGAAGTAATGTCGCGATGAAGCAAATCAACGGCAACATTAAACAGAACGAGCTGCTCCAACAACAAAAGCGCCCCCTCCCTCACCTCGCGCGCGTGTCGCAGCAGCGTCGTCGAGTACGCCTTGTCGCTCGCGACAAACGCGAGGCTCGCGGCGGCGAGGGCGGCGGCGGCCTCCGCAGCTACCTCCGTGCCGGGATTGGCGGCGTCGAGGCGGTACGCGGTGCGCGGCGTGGTCATGTCCTCGGGCCGCTGCCAGCACGCGTGGTCCGACCCGCCGTCGCCCACCTGCGCGGAGGGAACGGAAGCGGGGGAAAGGGGGAAGGGGAAGCGGAAGGGGGAAGCGGAAAGGGGAAGGGGAACGGGGTAGGGGAAAGAGGAAAGGAACGAAGTGGAGGAAGGGAGAGGGGGAAGGACAGGGAATGAGGGAGAATTCCAACGACCCTCTGGTTTGGTCAATCAGACACAACAGAGTTAGTGTGCAATCCAGCAATACTCCACCACTCCCCACGCCCTTACTCTCGCGAGATCTAGACTTCCCCTCTGCCCCTCCTTCTCACCCTCCCCCAGCGTCGCATCCCTCTAACACCCCGCGCGTTCGAGTTCCCCAATCCCCCTTCCCCTTTCGTCCTCCCCATCTCCCCGTTACCCTCCCCCCCCCCCATTCTCCCTCCCCCTCCCGCTCCTTCTTCCCTCCCCCCTCACCGCGCACCTGCGCGTACAGCACATTGGGCTCGGGGTGCGCGCTAACAAAGTAGTCCGCGCCCCAGCGCACGGCGTCCAGCGCGTACTGCAGCTGCCCCTGTGCCTCCAGCTGGCTACCGTACTCCACCACTCCCCACGCCAGCGTCGCGACCGTGAACGCCATGGGCAGCCCGTACTTGACGTTGTCGCCGCTGTCGTAGTAGCCCTTGGATAGGTCCACCTGGGGACGGTGGGGACGGTGGAGAGTGGGGGAGAGTGATTTCGGTGCCATTACCCTCTAGCACCCCTCGGGAAAGGTGGGGCGTTGGAGGGACGCTGGTTCGAGTGAAGACAGATGGGAGTGTGAGAAAGAGAGCAATAATGGTAAGACAAATGCTCACCCCTACTCTAGCACTCACCCCGACGTCCTTGCCGTCATTCAGCCCGGAATCCCCGCGCCACTTGGCTCGCTGATTGGCCGGCAGCTTTCCGGAGCGCTGCTGCTCGAAGAACAGGATACTCAGGGCGAGTGCGTCGCCGTAGTTGTGCCGCCCCCCAGCTGCCGCCGCCATCAGCAGCGGCGGCGGCCGTGGATGCGCCGCGGGAAGCCATGGGAGTGAGATTTGCGTGCCCGAGACGAGCAGCAGCAGCAGCACGGCGAGCGCGGGTGCGGTGCGTGAGGTAAATAGAAGAGAAATTGGTCGAGACATTTTGAGGGGGGGGTAGGATCGGTCAATCAGAGGGTGCAGCAGTAGCTGCTGGGAGCAGTTGATGCTAGTGGCTGCTGCTCAGGATCACCGAATTTGCCTTCGCGCGATTAGCGATCAATCGATCTCGAGCTAGATTTGGCGGTGCGGAGACCAGTGCATCTGGCTTTGGCTGTGTCTAGAAAACGGCTTGGTGATTTGCAAAACGCTTGAAAACACTGGAACCACTAGCGCTTCTTAATGAGTGCGAAAGATGCAAGTGGCGAGCTGCGAAGGTGTGCCACGAAAAGACCGTTACGAGGAAGCGCCTTCATGCGGACAGCACGCGAAGTGTCTACGAAGATGTCTCGTGATAGCAGCAGCGTCGGTGACAACTACCGAGCGGGCAGGCTCGAACACAGAGAGAGGGAAACGTGAAGGCAGTCTTCGAGCTATCTGTGCCACCGTGAGGTCTGGTCGAAGCCGTTACCTCCGAAGATAACTCGCACAGAGCGACGGCGTTGCTGATGTGATGGGTGCACGTCCCTAGAACCGCAGGTGGTGTCGAGGAGCGAGTGGTAAAATGCCTGCGCGCTATATACATGCGTCCGTACACGTGCGGTGAGTGCCATATGACTAGAGGGTGAGTACGCATCTGTGGAGGCCGAGTAGCGGGCGGGCAAGAAACGAATGATCTCTAGGAAAGCTACTAGCCCTTTCCGACAACTGCCAGGCCTGCCTCTGCCCGAGGCTGATCCACGCGCGCTGCGGCGCCCTCGGGATTCTCGTGGCGTGTGGGAGGTTGTATGTGTGTCTCTCACTCTGTCTCTCTCTCGCCCGCCCTCTCGCTCTCTCTGCACTCCTGCAAACTCGCCTTCATCAGGCCAGGTGCGTTTCAGAGGCGACACAGGTGAGTGGGCAACATGGGGGCTCTTGACCAGGCGTTGCGTCGGATGCATCATATCAGCGCACAGCTGTAACAGACTGCGAGCTTGTGACGTGCTGCGGGTGATCTTCGCGCGCAGACATTGCCGTCAGCGACTAGATGGGCTGGTGCGGTGATGTACAGAAAGATTATGAGGCCACTAGATGTACTCGCGTGGTGTTGCAATGCACCAGCAGTGCTGTTAGGGGATAGATGGGTCATCGTAGCTGTTCCCGTTCCTCTTTCCAGCCGCTTCCACTAGAAGGGGTGTGATTGAGGAAATGACAGATCGCCGTGTTTTCAAATTTCCAATTCCAATGGGCAGTGGTTTTGACAGCGCATTGCTCTGCGCTCGCGTCCAATACCTTGGGGCATATTCTTTCTCAGGTTCCCCTTTTAAGTCCACAAATACAAGTTGTTTCTAGGTTACGGGGTATTGAAAATGTTTCGTCGAGTCTATGGCAAACGCTCAGCTCGGGACAAAAAAAAATATCCCTCATGGATGGTATGCCACGAAGAGAGCATCAACCCTAAACACCATGAGGCAAGGGGTTTAAGGTTGATGCCTCCCAAATGGCTTGTCATCCGAGTGGGTTTTAGTTTTTCCACTGGCCTCTATACTGAACCCAGGTAAACTTAATATTTGCCCTTCTATACGTCTGGTCATGAAAAACGGTAAACAGCAATATAAACTGACCGCGGGAATTGGGCGCGAGCGTGGTGGGAGTCGCTGTCAAAGCCACTGCCGAAAGGAATCGAAAACGCGCAAACATGGCGGTCCGTCATTTCCTCGGTGTGATTCGCTACTGGCTGCATCACATCGGACCGCGTCACATCACATCGAAGCGCGAGAACATGGTATCAAAATCTGGAGAGTTTTTCTCAATTTCGCGGAGTCGTGGTTCGTTTTATTATTGCTACGTGGCATGCCTTCGATTGCGTGAGCCGCAATCTGTCATATTGTTATCACAAACTTCAAGAGAAGTTTAGTTAAGTTCTGTACTGCGCTGCCCAATGGCAAAAATAAAACCCATTCGGGCCTGGCATGCGTTAGGGAGGCATCAGCCCTAAACACCTTGCCTCTAGGTGTTTCGGGTTGATGCATCCCTAACGCATGCTTTACCTTTAGAGGTTTTATTTTTGCCCGCGGGCAGCGCTGGACAGAACTTAACTAAATTTCTGTTGACGTTTGTGATAACAATAAAAAAGATCGCGGTTCACGAGATCATAGGCTAGCCACGTAACAAAATTAAAACAAACCACGCGTACGCGGAATTCAACAAATCTCTCCAAAATCTGACAGCAGGAGCAACGAGAGGGCGCGGAAGGCGGTTACTGCCGAGATTATCCAATCGAATTTTCGCGCTTCGTGCAAAGCTCTCCTGCACCGCCGCGCTTTCTGCGAGGAGGGCAGAATCAGCAGGGAAAGGTCTGGCCCTCGTCACTGGTTGGTGGAAATTCTGTCAGGCTGACCGACTGTCAACAAAATGCGAGATCACCATTCACCAGACCCCATCAGAAATCGAGCCCTCCCTGTACCCTTCTTCCTACATAAAGGTGCTTTGTTATGAATGAACTTGCAGAGTGCGCATAATAACGAATATGGAGAATGGAAATCACTGAATGACGATACAATGAAAGTGTCGAGGCCTAAACAGGGGAAGTCCTAGCTAGGCGGGGAGGTGGGGAAAGGTTGGCTTGCAAAGGTTCGCGATTGGTGCGGAGGTGGCTCGGTGAGGTTTGGTTGCGAAATTGTACGCCGAACCAGTTGTTCGGGTGCCCACGGGATTTATAAATCCTTACATTCTCCCACCTTCTAAATAAGGCAGCCTTGAACTGAGAACGGACCCCACACTAGCAAGGATGCCGAAGATCTCCCCTTCAGCTGAATCCCACGGCCAAAGTGCCTTAGACAATATTTTTGAAAAGGTTGGAACGTAGGCCGTTGATGAAGTCCAATTTCGATCTAACGGTCGACGATGAACTGGCCCAAAATGAAGTAGAATTTGGAATGTGGGCCGTTGATCGAGCACATGTTGATCTGACAGTCAAAGATTGACACAAAAAGGGAGGGAACCTGTTGACGCGAAATCAGTCGCGATGTAGCAGAGACCGTCGATGTCGATAACGACGTGGGCCCAATCGACATTGATCGGCTCTGATCGGGTCAGTTCGGGTTAGATCTGATTGCTTTTGATCGTATTTCTCAAGCCGCCCGATCAGAGATGATTTTCCTCGAATGTTTTGCGCTCTTGCATGAAAACTGTCGGCCCATTACCTGGTAGTTGCATCCCAACTTTGGCGATACGGACGAATCTCAGTATCGTGGTAATGTCGCCAGCATCATGTCCCAACACACAGTTCTAGCCGATCTGGGTGTTTTCGCCAAGGATTTTCAAGACCTCATGGCGAGGCGTGTTACATTTCGCGTACGTCGCCAAGGTCGCCGATCATGTGCAATCAAGTGTTTGGGGCTGATAATGTCTGATCGGGTCTGATCGGGTTGTTTGAGGCGGTTGATTGAGTTGGCGCGATCAGCTGATTGCCCCTGATTGCCTGAAATCTGCTTCCCGCTTTCCTCAAAGTTTTTTATCGCTTCTGATCGCGCCGATCAGAGTCGATTGGGCCCACGTCCTAAGGACGTGGTGCAGATCGGTGATCGATCACCTCAGATCGCCCGATCAGGTCGGGTCGGATCAGATTGCATAAGATTGCCCCGATCGTAGGCAATCGGTCGATTGCGTCACGAGCCGCGCGATCAGACAAAGAAGTTTGGGGAAGTAAATGAGAGTTAGCCGCGAGGACTCAGCGCAATTCACTCGTTCCTTCCCTACAGAGTTGGCGACACCTAAGGAAATTTTAAATTGCGCAATTACAACGTAGCCCCTTTCGGGGGTAGGCGCGTCTGGAAAGTCAGATATCGCGATATCCAATGGTGCAGCTAAAAATTTCGGAAGGAGGGGTTACCTTTCGCAGCTGTCGCCAAACCCTGCGATCTGAGGCAATCTGTCGATTGCAATCGACCTCAAAAGATTGCGTCAGATCGAAGCGAACGATCGCGATCGATCGCAATCGACAGATAGCTCCCGATTGCATGCGATTGCCTCAAATTACCCCTGCGGCTTCTTGGAGATGGTGGATTGTCCTAATCTGACGCAATTACACTCAGATCGGGCCGATCTGCACCACGTCCTAAAGCGATCGCAGTCGTCCGTCGTGCTGCTGCATCCTGACAAAGTCAGAAACGCCAAGGAAAGAAATCAGCTCAGCGTAATTTCTCTCCCCTCTCAAAACACCATAAAAGTCCCGCAGCTGCGCCGAGATCAAAACCAACAAACCATGTGTGAAGTCGCACGTAGAAAATCGTTGAGCGTAGAAATCCAGGTGAATACGCGTCGGTACGGGAAAACGATGTCGAAACCAGGGTGTTACGTGCCCAAAATTCTTCAAGGGCAACCCAGTAAATGTAGGCCAGGAACCGAGACGAATATCAAGTACTCTAACTGCAACCTTTTTGTCGTCACATCGTCAGAATCAGGCGATCTCTTCAGCAGTTGCAGCTGGCAGCACCTGACCTGACGTGGTCAAATAAACTGATGTTGTCGTGGGCGGGTCGAGTGAGGCGAGTTGTCGCTAGTAGAGATGGAATGGCTCGTCCTGAAATATGAAATCACGGTGTTAGGATTATGTCGGTCATTCGATGACGAGAATCGGCGAATTACATTGAAACAGTAACCAAAATCGAATGCCACTCCGAAAAGTTGTCGAGCGTCGAGCCATTGTCAGATGATGTCAGCACCTCTGGCGGTTTTGTCCAGATTCGTGCCAAACCATTTGTCGTAATGCGCCGAGGGTTCCTGGGCAGAGATGAAAATTTGCAGCTGTCTCTCCCCCCCTTTCCACTGTTGCTGCTGCCTTCTTCAGGTCGTCAGTCGTTCGTACCCCTTGAAAACTCCGTGTA